AGGCCGCATCGTCAGCAGCGCGGCACGGGGTCGGAGGACCCCTGGGAACGTGCTGACGCCACCTGTCGGGCGTCAGGTCTCTCGAGAAGGGCCAGGGACCCGGCGGCGCCTCTGGGTAGGGCCAGTGGGTGTGGTAGGCTGGGTAGTGCAGGGAGAGGAGGTGGTCGTTCTCCTGCGTCAGGATCTCCCAGACGTACTGGCGGAACTGGGCCAGGGTGTACTGGTTCGCGAAGACGGCGAGCATGGCGGGCGTCAGGAGGTAGCGCCGGAGGCGGTTGCCGAGGGACAGCACCTCGGACGGGGCCGGGTTCCATCGCTGCCGGACGAGGACCGTGTGGGCGGTCGTGCCGCCGGCGATGAACTGGGACGCGGGACCAGGGGGCACGGGGTTTGGCGTCTCGCTGTTGGGGACCTCGTAGCCGAGAGCGGCGATCTGGGCGTAGACGTGTGCCTGAACCTGGTTATTGAGTCCGAAAGCCATTTCGGTATTGAGCCCTAGAATGTTGACTCCGGGATTCAGCATGTGCCGGACAGTCTGCGTCTGGGTGATTGGTGCATAGGGAGGCTGCAAATTGTCAGGAGGACCGCCAGGGAAGACGGGCAGCTGAGGAGGGATGGCGGCGGCAGCATCCCCCTGGTTGAGCTGCTGGCGAGTCGAAGCTATCCCATCGAAATCACTTCCAGACAGCGGCCTCCTTTGGGTGGCGGGACGCGTTCCCTGCAATCGCACACTTGCTAGACCATTCCTAAAGTTCGTCTCCATGCTCTGTAGGAACCCCTTTGTCGCTAGATGGCCCGCCGTAGCTCTGGTTTTGATCCTCTTCCTCATCGAAGCAAAAGCTCCCTGGGCTGGCGAACCCTCCGAGCTGTCAGTCTCCTCCAGTGGCACCTCGAGTTGTGCGTCTCCCGCAGGCTCTTCATCGTCTGCGTTTCCAGTATACGTATCTCTGAAAGCTCGCTTCCGGCCGGGAGTATACTTGCCAACGGTACCCAGCTCGTGGCCACCGTCTTCGCAGGGCAAGTTCCAAAACTTGGACCACACCCTGCTATCACGCGGAAACAGAGTCAAGAATCGAACGGACGGCGGCCGCCGGAACGGCTGAAGCGAGTGCGTGACCACAGGCCAGGCGTCAAAAATGGCCTGTCTGTCCCTATCTAGGCGCTGGAGCTCGTCCATATCCCACAGCTCGAGGCCGCTGCAGAGGCGCACCTCGACATAGTCCATGTCACGCGTGGCATGGAACCGCTGGGGGTAGGTGTCGTGGCGAGAGCCGCACTCCGTGCAAGGGCCCTCGTCGACGTGTTGCATGCTTCTGAGGTAGCGCGTCAGGTCGGCCTCCTCGACGTCGGGGTGCCAGGTGAGGGGCGTCACGAGGAAGAAGTCGTCGCAGCCCGACAGCACGTCGGCGAGGAACTGCGTGGCGCCGTTGGGTCTGTTGTCGGCCCAGGGGCGATACAGTTCGCGATGTTCTTCGAGCCCCTCGATGCTGGCCTGCTCGAGATGGAGGCGGATGCGGTTTTGCACCATGTCGATAACATCCTGTGGAACCATGTCGAGATCGATGTCACGGAAATCGAGGTCCTGTTGAAAGACCATGAGCAGGTTCTCGAGAAGGTCCTCGTTCTCGTCCATCTCCGCCTGCGGTAGGGCCCAGCTCCAATAATGGATGGGGGGTGTCAGGCACAAGCCGCGAGCAGGGTCAAGCCCCTGCCTGACATTGAGGACTTCGACTTCGATCATGTCATTATCCACACCCGGGTTGGGCGCTTCCTGCACCGTCCGGATACCCATCGGATCGCCGTCCGGGAGGTCGTACATGACTGAGGCAGGACCTCCCATCGGCAAGCCGCTCACATGCATGCCGCGTGCGTGAAAATGCGGCCATCGTTCATTCCGGTCCATGTTGCGGAAGAGCATCTTCATATCTTCTCCGTGCCCGAGCCTTCGGAACTCGGTCAGATCCATGGCAGCTCGCTTGATGTAGTGGAAACTGCTGTCGAGCTGCCACACGCGGTACGGGTCGTTGAGCCATGGATAGGCGGGCTCAATGTAGGGGTATTTGATCATGAAGAGATCCTCTTCTTTGTAGAGACCGACATTGTCGCCGGGCCTGTTGATGTCCACGCGTGCTGTCTCGCTGCGTTCGTTGATGTCTCTCGATCGCCGAGCCCGTGGCAGCCGGCGATGTCGGGGGACAAGGTTCCTCGGTGGGAATAGACCATACCGGAAGAAATGGCCTTGAGCGTCTTCGTTGTCTCTGATATTCGCCGTCCAGGCTTGTCCGAACAGTGGCTTCTCGTTCACGCTCCGGTTGTAGGGAGCAAATTTGCTGCTGACCTGCTCAATGACATACGAAGGCGGCACGCCAACCGCAGCAGCGCGCACAATGTCGTCTTCTGGCAAGCGCATATCTCGTCTCAGGGTAGAACCGAGGGTCAGAAGATTCAAGTTTCTGATGTGGCACCAGCAGTGATCGCCATAAGCAGGCTGTCCATCGCCCGTCCAAGTCTTGACCTGCCGGTACTGGTCCTGGCAGGCGCAATGATACACACCTCGGACCGTCACATACTTGACCGACGGCTGCGATCGGACAAAATATTCTGTAATCATGTTGACGATTTCGTCCGGCACGCGGCACATCTCCCGTGACCGGCTCCAGGCCTCGTTGTTCGCGGCCCAAAGCTCAAGCCAGCTCGGTTCGGCCCTCGTATTGTTCACGAAACGGGGCAGCGATATGCCGGCACCATGTCGAGGCAGAGCAGGGGCGGGCTGTGAAATGAACTCGTCGATGGACGATGGTTGGTCATCTGAGGTAAGGTCGTGAAGCTTATGATGATCGTTTCTCCGTGCGGCTCGATTCTCTTTTCTCCGCTGTCTGCGAGTGCGAATCGAGGCAAATATGTCGTCGACGGCAGCCCGCACAGCTTTGAAGGAGAAGCAGCGATCGTCTTCATCGTGATGACTCTCATCGGCCGCGTTGATCATAGGTTGGTCTTCCATCTTGTTTTTTTCGGCCGTTACTAGGAACAATACTGTCAAAGCTATGGTACTTGCTTGAGATGCGAATCAGTGCCGAACGAGTCGTCCCGTCAATTGATGGTGGTACGACCCTTATGATGGAACAGAGGCCGTAGTCGTCTCCCGGGTACCTCGACTGGGCAGTGGCGCCTCCTTTTTGGATGACAATGGCATCGTGGCAAAGCAAATATTAGACCCCCTGGCTTGCGTGGACGACCTCGAGCGACACAAAGATGATCAAGATCGAGATATGGTCAAAGGCGAAAAGGAAGCGACGGGTTGAGAATGAACATAGCGACAACAAAGGCCGGAGCTGGTTGTCCATGTGCTCTCTTTGAGTAGATGGAATGCTGAGCTTGGATCCGACAAAGACGACTCATCAAACCTTTCACAATCGAATAAACACTCGCCCTCGAAATAATACTGCACACAGTCGCCATGCTATCCTCTCACCGAGGATGTGCGCAAGTTTTCGATGGTCCATAACACTTGGATCTCGAGAGATGTGTCACAGGGGACGCCTAGGAAAAATATTTGTGAGTGGAATAGTAAGCTCCAACACCTACAAAGAACGGGGAACGGGTATCATTGAATTAAGTTTCATCCCCTTCCAATGGGATGATTGAACATTAAGAGGCCGTTGAGTCCTCCGACCCAGCCGTCGTCGTCGAACTCGGCAGAGTCCCCTTTGCCGGGGCCGCAGATGACGCACGGGACGCCGCCCTTCCAGCTGCCATCGTTGGTGACGCCGACAGCCTCGCCTTCGACGCGGATCTCGGTGCCAATGCGCACGCCGGCACTTCTCTTGCCGTCGATGCTGACCTCGAGCTCGCCGTCGCGGTTCTTGCTGCTGACTTTCAGAGTGACCTGGGTGTTAAGGGGTAGGACCAGCGGTCGGAAGCTCAGACTTCTGGGGCAGATTGGCGTGATGAGGAGGGATTTGACGAGCGGGTGAATAATTGAGCCACCAGCACTCAGGCTATATGCCGTCGACCCGGTAGGCGTACTCAGCAGGATGCCGTCGGCCACAGCTTCAGTCAGGAACCGGTTGTTTAGGTAAATGTCGATGATGGCAAGGTGGGGCTTTGGCCCTCGATGGATGAGGATCTCGTTGAGGGCATGAATCTGCGGGGGCGAGTCTTTGTGCGCCAGTTTTGTATCCTCGGGAGGCACTGCGGGAAGATGAGACTGCGACTTGGTGGTCGGGTGCAGCTGGCTGTTGATGTTCTGGCCGTTGGGGTCGTAGACTCCGACGCGCAGCCTATGTCGAAGCAGAATCTTGGACGCTCGGCTCGGCCCCATGCTCTTGCCCGGGGCATCTTGCCAGCCAGAGGCTACATTCGTCTCGGCTTCGTGTGTTTTTTCTCCCGTAGCGACCCTCGTGTGCGGGGTCAAGAGGTCTTGGTGTGGTACCCTGCTACCAGACATGTAGGCTTCTCTCCAGGCGCGCTTGTACTCCTCGAACTTCCACTCGGCCAGGAAGCCAATTGTGCCAAAGTTGAATGCCAAGATTGGTGGCACAGAAGAGTAGACACTGAAGTGACTGGCAGCACGTAGGATGGTGCCGTCACCGCCGAGGGTCGTGATCATGTCAATCTTGTTGGGGAACTGCGAGGGGTCGCATGTGTGGATGGGGAAATCGAGCTGGTCGTGCACCATCTGGGCGACGCGAGGTTCGAAGATGAGATTGAGACCAGAGTATGTGCTTTTCAGGTGTTTCGCAAAGTCGACTGTCGCTCGGAGGACTTGAGGGGAGCGCAGCTTAGGCATGAGGAGGATGTTGCGAGGAGGCTGTGGCCAGTGAAGGGACAGAAGCCCAGAGTTCGAGGTTCGCGGTTCGCGATAGTTGGGCGTGATGCGATCGGGAAGCGAGGAGACATCGCGAATATCAGAAGCACGTGAGGAGGGCGGGACAGTTGAGGTCGTCGAGTACAGTCGCCATGGCAATGTCGTCGTCCATAGTCGTCGAGATGGGAGCTGTGGAGGCCTTGACCAGGGACGACCAGCCCGGCAGATGGGGGTTGTCCAAAGGCTAAGCATTATAACGGCGATGCTATGCCAATTGGGAGCTCAAGGAAAATACATGGTCGAGCGGACAGCGAGGTGATTGCTGAAGGGTGTTTCCTGGCGTAAAAGCAGCGAAGCAACTGGTAAGTGAAGAGAGGATGCAAAAGTCATAATGACGAAGCTAAGGTCCTGCCAGGAAATGGTCATGATAGCGATAAACCGATAGGGGTATAGCGCATTTAGTGACTGGTCAAGCTGTTTGTATCTCGTTATAGGGGTAATGCGCCCCGGTTACAGCATGCTGCTGACTGTTCCGCCAGCACCCACTGGGCTGAATGCTTGCCCTCTTCAACCCAACTCAACGACATCAACCACATGCATCCTCCGTCCTTTTTTTGCCTCAGGAGAGGTCACATGCGCATTGAATGATATTCCCTCTATTTCCGATGTATTCAGCTTCGCAGCAGTGTTTCTGACTGCAATATCCAACCCTAAAGTCTAGCCAGTATCGCCAGTTGGTACTTTCACGCAATGCCGCATCAACCGTCTAGACACCAACCACGCGGATGGTGAGGTGGTGAGGGTTGCTCTCAAACGCCTTCTTCGACTCTTCCGAGCGAAGCTCATCCACATCCCAGGCGGCCCAGGCGAGCTTGCCATGCAGGAACGCCGCCTCCTGCGTGGCCGCCCACACGCTGTAATCCGCCGGCAGCTTCACTATGACGATCACAATGCGTCAGTCGACCCATGTTCTTTTCAGCCGAGCAAACACGCAAGAATTTTCCTCGAAGGTCTCGAAGAGCATGTGTGACTTACTGTCGTCAAAAGGAAGACTATCAAGGGCCATGCCAGCCCTGGCAGCAGACTCGGAGTAGATGATGCCGGGGTGCACCATGTTGATTTGAAGTACTTGAGGATCACTTGCGTCGGCTAGCGTCTGGATGAGGGAATGGCTCGCCTGCTTTGTCAGGTAGTATGAGGGTATCGCCTTGTCCATGCCCGGGCTGTGGATGACGCCCGTGGTAATGAACACGAGGTACTGTTTGTACCAAGCAAACATAGTCAGCGATGCATGATCTGGTGAGCCTAACAAAACGAAGGAATGCGGAACTAGAAACGAGAAGTATGGGGTCCTACCTTCTTCTTTTCCTCGAAACCCTTTTGGGCGCGGAATCGTTGGACAAAGTCGAGCTGCGAGCGCACGTTGGTGACATATTCGGCCCAAACCCTGTCGAGACTGGACGAGATGAGAGCGCCAGGGCCGCCCAGCGCAGCGGCGTTCAATACCAGGACGTCAACGGTGATGTCCTGAGCCGCGAGACCAGACCACAGAGCAGCCGTGTCTTCGAGACTGCTGACGTCGCTCACACGAGCTATGAACTCTGTCTTAGGGAACTCGGCAGCCAGCTCAGAAGTGGACTTTTCGAGAGTGCCGCGGCGGCGGCCCGTAACGATGATTCGCGAAGCATAAGCTTCGGCGTATGACCTGACAATGCCTTGGCCGATGCCAGCAGAGCCACCGGTGACAAGGATAGTCTTGCCGGCCTGGCTCAGCTCAGGCCGAGTAACGGAAATGGTAGGATAGGTGGTTTTGTGAATCGTCTTAACCCCTGCAGGGGCAGCAAAGACGACCTTGTCGCTGACGTCCTCCGCAGATATTGTTGTTCGCGACATCGTGGGCGTTATGTGGGAGCAGTTGGCTATGTGCAAGTGCAAGTATCTAGGCAATGCCGGTCCGTGTATCTCGCTCAGTCTCAGTGAGTGCTCGAGAGTCGAATGACTACCAAAGGAGCCATGTTAGACTCGACTCGGCGCAAAGGCTTTTTATAACTACTGTCTTCTCTCGCGTCTTTCATCTTGCTTGCGCTTTTTGGCAGGTTCCTAGACGTGATTGTTTGCTGCCCACATCAAACACTGTTCGTCGGGGCCGGACCGATTTACTCGCCGCTCCGCTAACCCAACTCCGCAGGTCCCGGGGTAATTTGTGATACATCCGCGGGGTATCCGCAGGTTGCCCGCAAGTTGCCCGCAGGTTGCCCGCTAACATATTCCACCGCAACCTCATACAGATTCGAACAGCTACAGATGCATCGGTACTTCACCGCTACAAGCAAACGACTCGCGTTACATGGTTGCACTGCGAAACCCCCTTTCTTGCCAGAAGGCAATGAATTACCCGCTATCATCTGCTTCAACACGTAGAAGACAACTGTTCAGCCATCGTGCCGATGGAGAATTGCGGCATTTGCTACTGCAGCCCCCTGCTCCAATGATGGATGACGAGATATCCAGGCAGCGAGCATGCCGTGCTTGTACTGATGCCAAGCGCCGTTGCGACAAGGCCCTCCCCTCATGCCTGAGGTGTCTCAACAGAGATGTCGACTGTGTATACCCTCCACCAAAACGACGGCGCTATCAACTGCCGTCCGAATCTGAAGGGCATGGTTTGCCAAGCGGTGGGACACCTGCTTCTCGGGGACATCGGAGTGACGACAGGCCGAGGCCGCCCAGTGTTGACGCAGAAGATGATGAGCCAGGCTCGCGGACGGGGGATACCGCATCTGAGGACCAGTTCCCCGACACCCCCCTCGAAGCCAGGTACTTCGATGAGTTGCTTTCCTATTCGGCACCCAGGCCGAAAACGTCTATTGTAAGCGACCTCATGCTGTCTTATCGGACTATGACCTGGTTTCTCCCACCTTCAGCATGGGTCCTGGACCAGCAACTCACGCTCCCTCCTACGCTCTATCAGACCTCCGTCTTGAACGACTTTGTTCACGGCCTGCAAATGTGGCTTGTCCGCTACCTGAGGCAAGGCCACAGCCCTCTGATACACCGCCGGCTTTACACGGAGACTCACATGCCGCAAGACATGCGCGACGCTATAGCCGCCATCGCCCTCTCCCAAACCGCAACGCCAGACAACGAGTACATTATTAGCCCCATCTCCTCCGCTTACCTCTCCGCCCTTCTCATCCGGTACGCGAACGACCGCCACGTCGTAGTCCCTAACCTCTCGACGGCGGCGCACCTCGCCCGCACCCAGGCCCTCCTAATCCACGTCCTTCTCGGCCTCCTCTCGCCCTCCATCAGGCGTCGCGCCGAGGCAGAGTCCCACCTCGACACCCTCCTCCGCTGGACCCGCCAGCTTTGGGACTCGGCGAACCTCGACGCCGCCACCTCCTCCCTCGTCCCGCTCGGCACCCCGGCCGCCAACCCCATCACGGGCCTCTACCGCGCATTCATCCTCACCGAGTCCGTCCGCCGCACCTACCTCATCGCCCACATTACGGCGGGCGTCTACCTCAATCTGCGCTCCTCGGGGCCGCCGTACAGTCACGCCTGCCGGGGCGACGTGTACATCACGCAGCGAGCCGGTCTATGGGACGCCGCCGGCGCGGCGAGTTGGGAGGCTACGGTTCTGGGGGCGTGTCCGCTGTTCCTGCACTGCTTGCGAGGCCATGACTTGCCTGAGGTTGGGATCGCAGCTGGCGATGTTGATGAGTTTGCGCGGCATTTATTTACGGTGCTCTGGGAGGCTGATGAGGTGGAGAGGTGGACTATGAGGACCGGGGGTGAGGTGACAGCTGCCTATTAGGGGCCGAGACATTTGGTTTATTTGGAGTTTGGTGTTGGCGGGGAGAGAGATTAGGTGCATGGCATGATGAAAGGGCGAGCACTGCTTAGATTCAAAAGAGGGAATTGTCCCGATGGTGAATGATTTGCGTTTTCGGCCGTTGTTTATAAATGGCTTTTAGGGGAGTAGTTCATATGCCACTACAGGGAGCACCGGCAAAAATGAAGGACTAAGGTGAAATAGCAAAAGTAATCGCTGGTCAGTATGAGGGTCGAACTCATGACCTTGGCATTATTAGTACCACGCTCTAACCAACTGAGCTAACCGACCAATGGATAAAAGTAGCTCAAATCTGTAGACTAATGTCGTTACTGCGGCATTTCTGATTTGACCTAGCTTGACCCCCAGTCTTCCGTGGAAGAGTCGAATTGTGGTGGGGGTTAGTGTTGGTAGAATGGAGGCGCCGCTAGACTGAATGCATTGGCAAGCCTCCGATTGTGCTTTGTATACGCACGAAAGGAATGTACATGGAAGCGGATGATACATGAACAATGCTGCTGACTTGATCCACGCAAAGACGCAGGATGCCAACTATCAGAGAGGCACCACAAATGGCGCAATGGTGCTAAGCTTCTTAACTGTCTCAATAAACTCGCGCGCGGGCTCAGACTGATCGATGATTCCCGCGCCTGCCTGCACCCATGCCTTCTCCTCATCTTGATAAACCAATCTGAGTACCAGGGCTCCCTCAAAAAAGTCTGATCCTTCAAGCATGATGACGCTGCCAGAGTACAGTTCACGGGGGTGTGTCTAAGGGAGGTGATGACCTCAAGGACAGTCTGCTTTGGAACTCCAGATGCAGTGGTCGATGGGAAAAGAACATCGAACGCGTCCCAGGCATCTTTCGCCTCGTTCAACTGTCCGCACACCCTGGACCCAAGATGCTACACCTTGCCGCGCTCCCTGATTGACATGAAGTCATCGACAACGACGGTATCGTTCGAGCAAATCTGCTCAAGTTCCTCGACCGCGGCCTTGACGGACAGAACGTGTTCCACAATCTCCTTGGAGTCACTGAGAAGTTCTTGTCGCATTTCAGACGCTCCGCGTCGCTGCAACCACATGAATGGGTGCCAGCCAGCGGCTCTGTCGTGACGCGGCCGTTCTCCAGAGACATGACTAATTCGGGACTGAATCCAGTGGCCTGGAAACCGCCATGAGAAAGACAAAAGGTTGTCCTCGGAGTGTTCGATTTCAGTCCTGTGAGTAGCGTCTGAGGCATGTTGACCGGGCCCACAAGATCAACTGCCCTCGAGAGTATGACTTTGGCCAAGCGACCTCCTCTAAGCTGAGACAGACCGTCCGCCACCGACTGCGTGTAAGCTTTTCGATGTTGATCAGTCTGCTAGTCAGGCATGTGAGGGGATCCGCGTGGTGTCTCGCCTCCCTTCAGCACAGACTCGATGTATCGACCTTGGTTCACTCCGTCCCCTAAGATTGTGAACCCCCCAGAATGTATGTTCAGCTCAGTCTGGGGAATCATCAGAGTGAGGAGAGGCCATCGACCTGCGTGGTACGAGAGGCCTTTGATGTGGGGTGCGAAATTGAAGCCTGCAAAGGCGAAGATCTTTCCCGCAGCGGGGTGAGCGCGGAGGAAGTTTCACGTCATGTCTGCGAGGCTAGACTCAATAGCTAGGGACTCGCCAAGTCGCTTCCGCCGAGCGTAGAAATTGTGGCGTGCCGTCCATCCGACTCCATAGCCAAGGATGCGAGACTGCCAATGCCAACATGCCAGGGGCCTTGTCGTTCGTAGGCGTAGTCTGGTTTAGCATCAACAGTGGAGAGAAGAGATGCAACTCTGTCAAGGGGAGTCCCCGTGCCGAGCGAGAATGTGAAAGATTTCTGGGAAGACATTGGTAAAGGAGAGAGCTTTTGTTTGAATAAATAATTCTATATGTGAGTTGTGATGAAGTGGCCGAACCTCATGGTGTCAGCTTCGGCCGTTTAAATATAGTTTTGGACATGCTCACAGGGTACCCATCGATGAATCTCAGGTGTCATACGAACCGCCCACGTATCTAACGATCCGTCAAGTCCAAGTTTGGGACGGGCCGCCCCGTATGTCTTGGAAAGGAATGACCTATCACGTCATCAATCCCAGACGTTGGGCCCGTCCAGCAGCACTGTCGACGCTTGTGACAACTTTTACGGGGGTTTGAAGGGTTCGGAATGGATTTGTTGTCACGAGTCAACAGTTTAGGTGCCACATGCGTGCAAATACGATCTGACAAGAAAAGGCATCCAGATGCCCTGCTTCTGGCCGGTGACCTTTGTTAGAGACAGCAAAGCTATGAGTATGTACGGATAGTATAATTATGTTCAAGTAGTATTGGCAATCCTTCAAGGCAAGCATCCCCATGGGACTCAAAGATCCCATGCGCAGAGACAACAGGACTGAAGCATCAGCTCAGCTTCGTGACGATAGCCGTATAAGCTGCCTTTGGGTTATAGTCGCCATCAAAGAGCAGAGGGTTGGCGCCCTTCCTCCACGAGTCCTGCATACTATCAGCTCGGAAACAAACTCTTCTCAGGCAACAGAAACTCACCTTGTCGCTCACACCCCAAACGGTGATGCCCTTGCACTTGGGAACATCAAGACACGCACCCACAACCGTGGCAAAGTCAGCCGCCGGCGCCATCTTGATGTCCAGCTCGGTGATGGCCACCTCGGAGACCTGCGTGGAAGCCAGCTGCTGGAGCACACCCTTGATGTTGCCTGCCGCACCGGCATCGAGGTGCGTTTGGGAGCCTGTGGTGCAATGTCAGCATAAGGTACGTCGTCTGCATGAAACGGGTGTACATACCGATACCGTCTATTGGAACACCTGCAGTGATCCACTTGTTGACCTTGCTGACGAGTCCGTTCACCTTTCCATAGTTGGCGCGGTCAAGGTTGTAGTCGTTGATGTACAGCTTGGCGTTAGGGTCCGCGGCACGAGCCGCACGGAAAGCAATGCCAACAAAGTCCTCGCCAAGAACATCAGAGAAGACAGACGAGCGCATGGTCCCGTCCTCGTTGAAGATTTCGTTGACAACATCCTAACAGCAGATCAGAAAAGCGCAAAGCTTGACACGTCATCAACAAGCAAGTGGATCATACCCAAGCGCGAATCTTGCCCTTGTACCTCGTAACAATCGTCTTGACGTGGTTCTCAATGACCGTGGTCAGGTCATCGCGGTCCTTGATATCCTTCACCCACTGAGGCAGCTGAGAGTGCCAGACGAGGGTATGGCCGCGGATCGACTTGCTGTTCGTCTGCGCCCAGTCGACGAGGAAGTCGGCGCCCGCAAAGCTGAACGAGCCGCGGCTCGGCTCGAGGGCATCCCATTTCATCGAGTTCTCGGGCGTCACTTGGCCGAAGTCCTGCTGAATGATGGCGGCATTTTTGCCCGTCTGCAGCAGGCCGCGGTCGGTGGCGACGCCGATGTACAGCTTGCCCTTGGCTTTGAAGAGCTTGTCGATGCTGGTTGCGGCCTGACGCGGCTCTACATGCGAGGCAGCTTCGGGAACGGGGCTGGCTACGGCGGCCAAAGGGGCCAGGAGGAGGGCGAGATGGGCCTGTGAGAGTTTCATGGTGGTGGTGACTCTAGAAAAGGTGTGATGGGACCTTGGGCTGTACTATGGCTGATGAATCAAGAATCGACACTAACTATTACTCTAGAAGCCATTGATCTTATATTGAACATGGTCAATTGATCGACCGGCTAAATATACAAACGCCAATCTCGCCAGCCCCAGGCTCATTCTGGCCGCGGCCCCCTTTCGAAGCCTGCCCATGAGGTCCAACCCCGTCAGAGTCTCACGATGGCAGCGTCCAGATTGCATTTGAACACCCCACAATCTATCCGGAGCAGAACATAGAAAGCACGGAGCACGGAGACATGGGAGAGAAAGGTCAGAATACCAGTCTGACTGACACGTCAACCGACGTCAGTTAAGGAGAGGGGCATCATCGACACAAGCAAGCATGATCGTCGCAAATCAGGCAAACCGCCTAAATACACAACCTTCTTTCCATGCCGAGCTGCCTTTCCACGGATTGGGTTCTCATTCTCCCCTGGCCAGGGCCTCCCGGGCAGCGATCCTGAAACAGCACTGCGAGGTCCAGGGCCTGGAACCGCAAATCGTGATGGGTAAACGGAACTCGGCATCGGGCGATGTTGCAGTTGTGAATTTCGGCCGAGCCGGGGTGGAGCAGGTCCGTCGGGACATGGAAAAGGCGGTCCCCTGACCATGTCGCCTTTTGGGACGGGTGGTACCCTGGGGGCCCTGCGCAAATCGCCCTTCTATTGTTTGAAACGTCGGTGTTGCCATGTGACCGTTCCAGTGCTGGCCTTGCTGCCGCACACCCCGCGGCTTCGCCGGATGTCAGAAACAACAGGAGGGGAGATGAGGGGTTGACTGGCAAGGGTGCACACTGCCAGAGTAGGCTAGGGAGCCAGAGTTGCCTCCGGATGAAAGGGAGGCGAAGAACACGCAGCGCTGGTAAACGTGACGATGATCCCAATGGCATCAGCTGGGTCAAGTGTTGCGCAGCTCTGTGCGATAGGGAGGGTCACTAAAGTCAGAGATGATCCGGTCTTGAGAGTCCCCAACAATAAACTACTGTCAATACGACACGAAGTCAGGGGCTTGTGACATTGATGCCCTTCGAACTATGCTGGGGATAGCATGTTGAGGATCGAGCCTGCCAACGACAGGGTCTGCGTCGTCGTGACTAGAAGATGTGGATGGCTCCAAGGAATCCAGCTGGAATAATCCCGACAGGGCACATTTCTCGAGAGACAGTCTAGGATGCAAAGCACTTGATTATGCAAGGACCTGATGCTCGCAGTGCAGGTAACAGTAACCAAACACACGTACCAAGCACAACGCTCAAACCCCAAGACACCCATCATGACATACCCACCAAGCGCCAATCATATATACCCAACACGCCAGGCAACACAAAAACCTACAAACCGCAAATCACCTCACAAGTCCTGCAAGCTCCTCCGGACGAAGAGTTCCACAGCGCCCCTCAGCTTCTCCTCGACGGCCTTCCTCTCCTTGTCCTTGGCCGGCAGCGTGACGCGACTGACAGACCTGCCCATGACCTCGGCGAACTTCTTCTCCTTGGCCCTCCGTCGCGCGAGCGCCGCCTCGGCGGCCGCCGTGTTGCTGCCGCCGCCCGTCATGCGGCGGAAGCTGAGGCTGCGGCGGCCGATGACACTGAGGCGCTTGCTGGCAGTCGAGGTCAGGGTCTCGAGCTCGGCCTTGGCAATCGGCGTCAGCTCGGCGGCCGTTTTCGAGAGCATGGCTGTGAGGAAGACGAAGGCGATGTTGTGGTTCGGCGCGGAGGCGAGGATGTCAAGGATCGTAGCCTTGTTGTCTTCTGCTTCCTCCGCCGTGCGGATTGGTGACGTGGAGCCGAGCTGGGGAAGCGCGACTTCAATCTTGGCCCATAACGGCGCAGTGATGATCCCGTCGGTTAGGCCCCGGAGGTAGAGAACGAGGACCTCGGCGGCGACTTCTAAGCGGTGCGGCGCTGGGCTGTCGAGCGGGAGGGCATCAGAAAGAGGTGTGTCATTATCGAGGGCCTCAACGAGGGCGAGAACCTGCTCATCGCGAGCCGCCTGATCGTTAAAAAGCCATGTGGCCTTCTCGAACGGCCAGCCAGGCCTGTCGGCTGGGATGACTTGCTGATCAAGCATGTTGGCGTCGGCGAGAACCCTTGTCGTAAGCGTTTCAATCGCCTCTGTAAGTTTGAAGAGTTCTTTAGGTGCTGCCGAGTGGACGTCGAGATCATACGGTATCGAGCCGGTCTTTGGTAACCTCGACTTGGCGAACGTTCTAATCCCGCCATCGGGGATCCTGATAAGCTCCTCGATCGATCGGCCGAAACATGACGGCAGCCATGTCGCTCGGACCGGGATGAAGTGATCTCGCCCGTCTTCGACGCGCAGAACAAGGATATCCTCGAGCTTCTCCCGGTCGCCGTTGAGAGCCCGAACATGTGAAATGTCGTCGATCAAGACTTCGAGCACGGCACCCAGGGTCTCGCCCGGCTCAAGCGTGACATCATCCCCCAGCTTCTCGGCCTCGTCGTCATCGTCATCGGAGCCGCTGCGACTGAAGCGTGTCTTCAACCAGTGCGGTGGGCTGTTGGTGGCGGCGTCTTCCGATGGCCTCTCGACAAAGGCGAATTTGGCTGGCACGCGGCCAGTATTGGCAATCGTCAGGCGCGTCGTGTGCTTTCGCAGGTAGCTTATGTCACCAAAGTCGACGGGATCGCCTTGGTCAGCTGGTCGTCCGGACGCCTCTTTGCCTGTGCCATCCTGCGTGTCGACAACAACAGTGATGAGCGGCCGGCCTTCGTTCTCGGCGCGGTCCAGCTCCTTGGCGACTTCGGCGTGAACCTTGGCTTTCAGTTCCGGCACGACGGCGTCGTAGTCCAAGGTGAAGATAGATATGATAGGTTTATGATCTGATGATGTGATACGCTGGTGTGATGTGTAAATATCGAGGTGTATCCGATCAGTAAAGCCCTCCTTCGTTACCACTTCTTCAGTCGCGTTATCTTCGTTGTCATCATACTCGTCATACTCGTCGTAGGGTGCATCGGACACTCCCTTGGGCTGTTCCTCGGCGTCGGCATCCGTCTCTGGGTCGTAGCTGAACAGCACATCATCGTCATTAGCAGCATCCTCCAGACCCTGTGCCTTCATCTGCTCGTCCTTCTTCTTCGCTTCCTCGGCCTCCTGCACTTTCTTTTCGTGTTCCAACTTGTCCTTTCTTGTGCGGTAGAGGATGCGATCGCACCAGCTTGGGGCCCGTTGCTTTTCACTCGAGTCGAATAGACTGACGGTACCGACGTCGTACTTGTACGAGGGCAAAAAGGTCACAGGTCCTTCACGCCAGCCCTCGTGAAACGCCTTCTTCTCTCGGATCACTCGACCCAGCTGGTCATGGGGCAGCAGCGAGTCCAATGTAGCCTGGAGCGAAGCAGGGTCGTCGTGTGGGTCGGGCAAGAAGTCGTCGGGATCTGGTAATGTGGTGTTCGACTCGTCGAAATCGGGCTTCCTCGGGGACACGGTTGACGCCGTCGTCGACTCGTCGTCGCTGCTGTCGTCGACGTTTTTGACGACGAACATGTCCTCGCCGTCGAAATATTTCTTCTTCTTCGACAAGTCGTATTCGCCTCGCGTGTGCAGCATCAGCAACCGTCGAATGTCGGCGCCCGGCAGGCCCTCGAGCCTGAAGTTCAGGTCGCCGAGCCAAAAGGCAAAGTCCTCGTCACCGATCTTTTCCGGGGTGGAATTCGTGGACCCGGCCAGCTGCACCGGCTCAAACTGGGTGCGCGTGAGGATCTGGTTGTAGTCCCACAGACGACGTTCGAGGTGCGTCTGCTCGGCGCCGCTAGCGAGGTGGGAGTTGACAAAGACCATGCGCGTCGTCTCGCCGAGGAAGATGCGCGTCGTGACGGCGCCCTTATTGCCGAGATAGCCAAACAGGCCGGTGCCGACCTGGACGGTGCTAACGTTGCCGACCGTCGCGGCAACTTCGGGCGAGGCGTAGACGAGGAGCAAGAGACCAGACATTTGTTCGGCCGTGACGAGTTCGTAGCCGGGCGGCATGGCCTCCTCGAGGGCTTCCTTCCACTTGGCCATGGGTTCGGGGTCGGAGTACATGCGCGTGACGGCGTCGCGCGCCATGTTGAGGTCGACAATCTCCTGGAGCCCGAGCACGTAGAGGCCAATCTTGTCGCCGCCGACGAGGCGGACTTCGTTGTGGTCTTGGGAGGAGATGCCCGGGTTGTTCGCGTCTGTTTCTTCAACTGCGGGGTTATGAGCGAGGTCGACGGTGGCAAAGCCCTTATCGACACCTTTGCCTTGGACGAACCAGCTGGCAAGGTCCTTGTCGGCGCCGGGACACGCTGCGACGTTCCACGAGCCAATCTTGACCCGTATGCGATGTGGTCGTACATATTCGGCGCGGCGTGCATAGACGGCGCGAGCGAGAGAGTGCGGGGTGGAGGTCAGGTCGATGGGCTCGGAGGTGGCAGAATCGAAGGACTGTTCTGGATCGTGGGAAGCCATGATGCAAGATGTTGGAGATGAGGTATATGGCTGGTCGGCAATCAAGATCCAGAGGGACTTGTCGAGGGATGTGCACAGGGCTGCGCCAGGCGCATGTTGTCGCGTGCGAAGAGGCAGGAAGACGTGTCAAGTCAGGGAAGTAGGGTGCAGAGAAGTAGGGTGCAGATGAAGCAGGCTTCAGAAAGACACAAGATCATGATAAGGTATATCAGGCTCGTGGAAAGTGTCAGGCTATGACAAGGCTGCACGGACAGCTGGCACAGGGCAAGCAAATGCGCGCGTCGGAAGGAGGATGAAGCAATCAAGGATGCTGAATCTGGATGCCGAATGCTGAATGCGGGATGTACCAGAGGTAGATGGACATGGGGGACGTCAGGACCATTGCAGGTGACGACAGCGGGGCGCAGATGTGCTACCCTGCTCTACACCTACCTACCTAAGGTACCTAGGTACCTTACCTAAGGGACTTGGGTACCTAGGTACCTCGGCAGCAACGTTGGCCGTCCTGGTTCATGGCAGGAGAGGCACTGATCTATCTGGTGCCCGGTAAGGAACTTGATATGTCTGGACGAAGTCGGGAGGATATGAACGCAACACCCGCCTGAATTCCTGGCAATATCTCATCCTTGAGGATCACAGAAAGCACAAGCATGTCCGTAAGCTCGCCGGCGCTATCCGACCAAACTACAACACCAGTACCAGTACCAGCTTCTGGGCTAAGGCAATCCGATGGGTACCTTCCTGCCCTATATCTATCCCTTTAGTGCCCAAATTCGGGCTCAGTATTTGTATAACTATAGCCAAGTGGCAGAAAACATATGTCACTAATTGAAACAAAGGACATAGCCAACTATGCATCCAGATGCGTATGCGTGACCTATGTTCCATAGACGTACCCGCCCTCAATCATGTACTGACCTAGTACCTGCACGCATGTAGATCAAAGCTCTTTAGGTAGGCGGTGACCATTGGATGTACTGAGACCAAATTTGGGCACTAAAGGGATGACCGGACACCCTCTGCTGCACGCGGTAGTCCGATCGGCTATCTGCAACTTACGCCGACACAAACTGACGTCCGAAATACCATTCCAACAAGGTAAGGAACCTAAGGTACCTAGGTAGGTAGGTATCTGGTAGGTAAGCACGGCCCCTCAGGTAAGCACCTGTACCTAGGGACTGCCCTGTCCTTCGCTCTGCTCTGGTGTGACCCTGTCACGTTGGGCTGCTGCTTGGTGCTGTGCTTCAGTGCTTGCTTTGGCGGGGTGCAGGCCGATAAGGTTGAGCTCTTATCAGCTGCCGTCGACCCAATTGTCACGGCTTCGAGGCGAGCCTCGCCGCGACATGCCTCATCGTCCACTCCTCACTGCACACAAACATCCAATCCTTCCTTGAACAACCCTCCAGCTCGTTCTGCACTCCTAGCCCCAACGAAGCATACCACGTCACAGTCATCCACACACTCCTCGCAGGCCAACACCATCACGACGCACCACCATCGGGCAGCCCAAACACCATGGTCAACCAAACCCCCCGCGGCAAGCGCGGCGGCGGTCACGCCCGTCACTCCTCGGCCTCGCACCGCCACGCGAACCCCGTCACATCCGACTACGACTCGGACGCGCCGACGCACGCGCTCCTCGACCAAAACGCCGCCGCCCCAGCCCCGAACCCGGCCCTGCTCAACCGCACCAACACGGACCTCAACCTCGCCGTCCTGCGCCGCCACATGCCCGCCATCCACTCGATCCTCTCCATCGCCGCCAACGCCGTCGTCTACACCTTTGCGCCCGCCACCTCGTCCTGGGAGCGCGCCGGCATCGAGGGCACCTACTTTCTCTGCTTCCTCGCCCCGGACGCGGCAACGGCGCAAGATCCCTCGATCGCCGCAGCAGCAGCAGGCCCGCCGCGCGCCTGCATCTTCGTCCTCAACCGCCGCGGCCTCAACAACGTGAGCATCGACCTCGCGACCGTCGGCCACTTTGAGGTCATGGACGGCATTTACATCTTCCGCCTCGACGAGGGCACCGACGTCCTCGCCGGCGTCAAGCCCGAGGGCGACGCCGCCGACGCCGCCATCGACACGACCGTCGTCGGCATCTGGATCCACACCGAGGACGACGAGACGCGCATGTCCAACGCCGTCATGGTCCAGGAGACGCTGCGCCTCGTGCAGACGGGCGAGGCCCATGTCGAGGACGACGCCGTGCAGGCGCAGGCCCAGGGACAGCCACACAGCCAGGGACAGGCGCAGGCACACGGCCAGCAGCAGGACTACGGCCCGCCCGCTGCCGCCGCCCAGCCCGCGGGCAGGAAGCTGAGCGTCAGCGCCCTGTTTGGCGTCGCGCCCAACGGCCTCAGCGGCTAGGAGCTGCTGTTGCAGAGCGCGCAGCGCATCGCGAAACGAATGACGAGCTCGGGGCAGGAGGGTTCGCGGCGCTTGTCTTTTCGGCGCGAATGAGCCGTATGCCGTGCTACTGCGGGCATGTTGCTTCCTCAACGGAAGAAGAAAAAGGGGACGAAAGGATGGAGAACCGGAAAAAGGCCGTCTGGTGCTGGGTGGAACGCTCACAAGCTGGGACCCGAACGTGTACGATACCCACAAGAAATGCAGGGACTCATCTAAACCTCGCATGGAGAGTATAGACTACGAAATGAAATAATGGCATCTATGAGTTATGAACGCCTTGAAAGACAAAAAAGCCCTAAGCGCTCCGCGGAGCATCAAAAAAAGGTCGAACCTTGGCCAACGCGTGACGCAATTCTGTACCAGTCACCTCGCCAGGTCTCCTTCTCAACCTGTCTTTCCCATGCCGGCCGTGAAACTCATACTGTGCACACCCCCTTCCCAATCATCCATAAAGGCTACGAGCCCACGTCTCAGACCGTCCCGCCGATGCTCAGCTCGCGAATCTCCTGCAGGACCTGCTCGACCCTTGCGTCGAGGTGGCCTTGCGCGTACTGCTCCCGCGTGTCGGCGTCGAGGTACTGCTGCACCTGGGCCATGCGGCTGTAGGCCTCGGCGCAGAAGCGCAGCTGGATCTTGACGAGGGCCTCGAAGCTCGGGTCGAGGTAGGGGACGCGGAGGTCGATGAGCTGCGGCAGCTCGGTCGAGAGCTGCTCGTTGAGCTGCTCGTACGCCGCCTTGGCCATTTCCATTTCCTTCTCGGCGCGCGGCAGCTTGGTCACGTCCTTGTCCGGCTTCTCGGCGAGCTTCTTCACCTTGGCGCGCAGCGAGTCGTAGTCGAGCAGCTTGTGGCCGCGCTTCTTGATGCCTAGGTTGTTGCGTGTCAGCAGACGGGAGCGCCGGAGGAGGGACATGCGGGATGCGGCAGCGACTGACATTCGTTGACGTCTGGGAAGTAAGCACAGAATCGGGAGATGGGTTGCAAGACGGTCGTTCTGGTGGGGGTCTGTTAGTAGATCCTCCATGGTTGGTGCTGGAGACACGCACTGGTATGGTCCGTCTAGTGACTTGATCGTCTCGGCGTCAAGATCCTCCACGGCCTGCTTGTAACTCCTGCTCACACCGTCTCTCGCACCAGAGTCTCCGTAAAAGGCGTCTATCGTCTCGGCAATTCGCATCTGGGAAGCAGTCATGGCTGCGAGTGGGTCAGCCCGGTTCGGCACATGCTTGGCGTGGTTTGAGCTGGTAGGCTTTACCTCGTAGCGAGTCGAGGTAGCCCTTGGACTCCTTCTGTAGCCTCAAGGCAGCAGCCTCCATGGTCTTGAATCGTCTGTAGCCACTGGTCTCAGCATCACTTCCAACAGAAACGAGGTGCCGGGAACCCCTGACCTCTCTTCGACCTCGTAATCACGATCGTTTGTTCGCTCCACATGGCCTGTCAACGTATGTTAACCGGAAGTAATTCGGATGCGGGGGCAGACGAAAGACGAACCCGTCTTCATCATGACCTGCGTCGTCGCGCGGTTGACATTCTTCTTGAAGCCTGTCGTCCACCAGTGTCAGCGCCAACAAAACAAGTCCATGCCCAGCCGCCCTCGATGAGGGGTACACTCGGAAGCTCGGAACAGCCGTACCTGCCCACGACATGGTGAATGCTGTTCAATGTGTCGTCCGAGTATCGGGATAGGTGTTTATTCGGTCTCGGCGTCGAGCGCAGGAGCTGTTTCGTTGGTTGTTCGGCCGTGTTGGATTGGGATCGTGTCTCTGCTCGCGCGACGTTGGGGGAGGATGTAGGTTTGATTGCGACGCTTGCAAGTAGGGGGCCTGACGCCAGGTTGTGGCCAGCGAATGGAGACGACGTCAGCGGGCGAGGCGCGGATGAGCCACATCCTCATTGGGCTAGCGCCCTGCACCCGCGTGTCTTTGGTTCCTGAGCGGGGCGAACACTGCATTGTACGGTGTCGATCGCGTGGAGGTATTCAATGAACAACTGTATTCATTTATTGTTTTGATTATATTTCTATCGACTGCCTGTGTGTCTTGTTGTACTGCTGTTTGCGTCGTCTAGGATTCGTGGAGCTGGGGCGCTCATCGCCCCACCGAAGCCTCTCAAATATTCCCACATCGTGCCCTCTCACTGCCTGCTCTTTGCCATTCCCCATTGCTGCCTATAGCTGTAACTTGAAATACCAAAATGCTCCATGCTGCTGCGGCCAAGGAGGCTTAGATAGACGATCCGAGAGGGCAAATCTTCAGCAGCAACACCAACATGGCAGGTAGGAGGCTGAAGTGCGAACGGGGTGATTGCGATGCGGCAGACGCTGCAAATGAAGGGGATAAGGTTGTCGAGATCGGCATATTTATCGAACGTTGGCCAGGCTCGGAGGGCAAAGCCGGCGGCGTACGTGACCGCAAATAGGCAGGAGTTGAAGTATGTTTTGTTATGGCCGGGTGTCATCCATCATCAGCCGGAGGCCAAAAGTTCTGTGTCGCAGAACGGATACGAACATGGCCTGCACCATGTGGACCGACATTGTGATTGAGAAACCTATGGTGAACGAAATGGTTACTCCCTTATTCGGAGCACAGAGCTGCCAGCTCATTCTGTCCACGGACGACTCAATGTCAGTAACCATAGATTTTGGAACCGGTTGGACTCACCAAGCTCATCGTATGCTATATTGCATGCTAAAAAAGATAGGCGTTCCTGTTTTTAAGAGGAGTAAATCATTATTATGAAGAGAAATTACTTCTTGAAATTCAACATTAATAATAGACAATGTTCAGGAAACGAGAACTTCAGTTGCCGAGCGGGCTACGCCGTGTTACAGTGCAGTGTTGAAGCTCGCCACTACGACCTCCCATGGCTACTGCCAGCTTTGTTATAAGTGAAAGACTAAGAGAAACAATCTTCGTGGAGCTGATAGCCTTACACTACGTTTGTCCCCGCTAGGTTATGGGGGTCCTACTCTTGCTCTGGACAAGGCCAGCAGCAGTCCGTCTTCCACGGGAAGATCATTTGGATCAAGCAACCGACGCTTCATCCGGGATGAGACACGATTGGATCCCAATTGGGCCACGGTAAAGATCATACGAAGTACGCAGGAGGATTAACATCCCCGAATTCAGAACGGCAGAGCAAGCTGAGCAGCCCTTCTATTGACACCAAGACTCTATGAATGAGTTCCACACCTCTCTGCATCGTAGCAATTCCCATTCACGACGAAAATCATGCTAGAGACCCAACCTAGCTAGAAATAAATAGCCTTGGCCCCCGAAATCTGATCATGTTGATCGGCCGCGATCGATTTCGAATGCTGGGTGGGCTTGCTGTGGGTCTGGCGGGCTCGGCCGCCGGAATCCTTCAGGCAGAAGCGGGCGCCATGGGGTATCAGACGACATGCCTTCGATACCCTTTCAGACATTATACAAAACATGCCCTGGAGGAAACCATCAGCTTGTTGAGATTGACGTTTCCAAATCTAAAATGGCGATGGTATCCATACCAGAAGGGTCAAGGCTTAACACGTCTCTACCGCAGGCTCCGCACACACGCGGAAAGCCTCGGCTGACGATGATGCGTTCCCTGCGAGGAGCCAACAATGTAACCGACATTCGAATCCTTCAAGCCAAGCTCAGGGTATCTGGCCGGCTTCGACCCAGGAACATGTAGAGAAGCCCCGTGTTCACGATACTCCACCGTCAAGTCGTATGGGTTAATTGCAAAGAAGACGAGCTCGCACATCGGCGCAAACTCCACCTCATCAAAGATGCCCACATCTACGAAAAAGCGCTGCTTATCCCTCTACGCGAGACGCAACATCTTTAGCACGGCATCGCTCGGCGGAAGGGCATGATTCGCAAACTCGGGATGCTGCTCGAAGAAAGGCTGCAGATTTGCCCTACTCGCCTCAACCAGGGCTCCTTCAGGTGTTGTACAGAGTCGAGAACCCGCTGCACTGTTAGTGACGCTTCGACAGCGGCATGAGTGACATGTGTCACGGGATCCAGTGCCGTCGCACCTAGGGTGCCCGCCATCTGCCTCGCCTAAGCCTCTAACGACGGCTGGCCCCTGTAGCCATCAACGGTCGACGTGTGCCGAAGACTAGCACCCAGGACCCCGGTTGGGAAGTCAGCCGCTGCAACGTGGGTTGGCTTTGGGCGCCGGGACCGGGTTGGCGCTGACATCACGCTGCAAGGCCGTCACCGTGTGAGACTTGCTCGAGGCGGTTGTCGACGCTCTCGAGGACCTCGTCGTAGCGGGCGGAGATAAGGACTCGCTGCCGTTTTTCGGGCTTGTTCGCGTGGCGCGACAGGTGAGGTTCGCTGTCAGATAGCTGGAGCAGGGAACGGCGCGATCGAATTTCGTCTACAAAGGTAAGATACTTTCTCAGATGCTTTCGGCCATGATCGTTACTTTCTGTCTTATGCAGTTGTCGCACTATGGCCTGAGCGTTAAAACTGTTATACTGTGACGTGAACCGTAGAGCGGGTGCTCTTGAGGCGAGAGTTCCCATGCTCTGGCATGAACAACGGTCCATAGTCTAGGAGTGACTTTGCACTCTGCTTCAGAAAAGAATTCAAAAAGTCTGGAGAAACGTAGTCGTGAGACTCTTGTGGATGGGCAGGATAACTGCGAGGTAGACTGAGTACGTCTGTCTGATCAGATGGCACCTCGGGTGGAGCATGTCAGCATCCTCCCGGACGGGATCGGCAACCAACAGTCTCGAGCATCAATCACATACATGCACACCTTCGACGTTCGCTCCGCAATAAACAAGCGAGTGCCAAAATGCAGTGGCTTATTATCTCTAGAATTCGCTCATCCTCTATGTCCCCCCCCCCGCCGAACGCTCTGCGAATTTGGAGTACACACAATCATACACTACAGGTACAGGCCCTCAGGCTCGCTCTCCTGCTTGGTCCGCAGCACTCTCTCCCTAGCCGAACGGAAGTCGGCCATCTGCACACGCATGCGACGCTCACGCAGAGCCATCAGACCAGCTTCGGAGCAGATGGCCTTGATGTCGGCACCCGACAGGTCGTCCTTTGCCGAGATGAACTCCTCGAGGTCCACATCGTCGTTGAGCGACATCTTGGAGGTGTGCAGGGTGAAGATCTTGCGCTTGGTGTTCTGGTCGGGGTTCTCAAACAGAATCTTTCGGTCGATACGGCCGGGACGGATGAGGGCCGGGTCGAGAGTCTCAATCTTGTTCGTCGCCATGAGAACCTTGACGTCACCACGATCGTCGAAACCGTCCAGCTGGTTGAGAAGCTCCAACATGGTTCGCTGAATTTCACGCTCACCACCCGATGTCGAGTCGTATCGCTTGGTACCGATGGCGTCGATTTCGTCAATGAACACAATCGAGGGGGCGTTTTCGGCGGCAACCTGGTATCACATTAGCGGGGCTCATTTGGAGAAGAAGGCAAACATACCTGGAACAGTTGGCGCACGAGACGGGGGCCGTCACCGAGGTACTTCTGAATCAGCTCACTGCCGACGATACGCAGGAAAGTGGCAGATGTCTGGGTGGGAACAGCCTTGGACCGAAAGCGTCTTTCCTGTACCTGGAGCACCATAGAGAATGACACCTTTTGGGCGGCTTGATGCTCCATCTCCTCGTACAGTTCTGGATGCAGCAGTGGCAGCTCGACCGACTCCCTGACCTCCTGGATCTGTGTTTCCAGGCCACCAATATCGGCGTATGACTCGGTCGGGGCCTTGTCAAGCTTCATGACGCTGACAAGGGGATCAGTGTCGTCGGTCAGGACACCGACGATGCTGACGCTCTTGTGATGCAGGAGCACACTCGTGCCGGGCTCGAGAAGGTCCTTGTCAACAAAGCTCATGATGCTGACGTAGTACTCGGGCCCGGTGGTGCTGCTGACAATGGCGTGGTCATCGTCAATCATCTCCTCCAGCGTACCGACACCCATCGGGCTGCCTCGCATGTCGTCAACACGACCACGCTCGTCAGCCAGCCTGTCTTCGGTACCCTCGGGTCCGGGCGCCGCATTGCCCTCCTTTGCGGCCTTTGCCTTGCTCAGACGCTCCTGGTTCTCGACGTATTCTTCTTCGAGGATAAGGTGATCGTGGGTTCGCTGCATTCGCAGGAGACGAAGCTTGCATCGACTCGTCGGGTAGATGGCAGGAAGCTTGGCAGCGGCGCTGGTGCCAGCCGCCTTTCTCTTCTTGCGGCCGACACGGGTGGTCGGGCGAGGGGGCGGCTCGTACTTGGGCTTATCCTTCTGTGGCGATCGTCAGTTCTGCGACGAACGAGATGGGCTGTTATGGTGAGGGCAAACCTTCTTATCCTTCTCATCTCTTCCTTCTCCTCCACCGCCCATTCCGGACTGGTTCTGACCCTGGAAAGACGGCAAGTCAGTTTGGTTGCACCTCGGGATGTTTGGCAGGGCGTTTGCAGGTGTGTACCATGGTTGCTACTGGGGAGCTTCGCAAGCTCTGGAATCGGGTGTCGGATAATCGCCAACAATATTCAAAGGTTGCGGCAGTTGACTACGTGTCGCAATGGATTGGTTCGGCGAGGTCGGTGCGCCTGCGATGGTGGTGATGGCGGTGATAGCTGTGGATGATGATGGAAGGACGACGTTATGGGGCTGGCTGACTGTTGGCATTTCGAGGTCCAGACGTCAAGGCGCCAGAGAAACGCGACGCCTGGGCTGGGGCCTAATTCGATGGCGACGCTCATCACGTGCGGAGAGCTTTGCTGAGTCATCGAGATGGCCGGGGGTTCTACTGGCGTTCAACCACAAGAGGTCCATTGACACCTGGATAGCTACTTGAACTGGCAGTAAATACCGGCGTGCACATGTGACAAATGCGGACATCTCGTCAGAATGCAGGAATCTGCTTCGAGTGGGTTATTGGAATTGACGTACTTACTGCTGGCAGCATGCCGTATTTACTCAATGTGCTTAAACCAATCAGCTCACTAAGGTAGCTCCATTGCGTAGAAAGTATCTAGTTTCCTTCCTACCTAGGTACCTACCTAGGTACCTACCTACCTTACCTCCCCCAGATACGTTCTCAGGTACCTCGCTCAGGTAGCTAGCTCAACAAGCAACACTCACGAGCTGCCTCGTTTCTCAGGATTAACGGCTAACTACGAATGATGCAACGATTCAAGTAAAAAGGTCGAGCTAATGAAAACAAAACCAGTTCCATGAACAATCCCAAGCTGGGTGTTTCGCGGCGTGTCTCAGCAGATGCACTGCAGCCCGTGACCCTGAGCCTGACGTCTACGAGAGCAGCCACCCAGGAACCCCTTGGTTTCCGTCTCCAGCCAAGTCCCCCAGCGGCTAACACTGGACGTCACGAAAGTTCCGCGGGGCAAATCGAACACCCCTCCATCTCACATACAACCCTATTCAACCCCAACGACGACGTCCCTCTGCTGGTTCCCTTTTGCTCTTCCTCCCCAGCAAAAGCTTGAACCCCGCCCACCAAGCAGTCCTCGCCCTCTGAACGAACAAAACGCAGTTCCCCGTATTCGCCGCGAGCCAAAGCAGCCCACCATGTCATCCTCACGCGAGCGCCGCATCATCAAGGAGCTGGCCGATATGGAGGCCGACAAGGACAACTCGGGCGTCTTCGCGCAGCCCGTCTCGGAAGCGAGCCTGCTCCATCTCAAGGGCACGCTGCCGGGGCCCCCCGACTCGCCCTATGCCGGCGGCCGCTTCGTCGTCGACATAGTCATTCCCGACATGTACCCCTTCAAGTCCCCGATCATGAAGTTCGACACGAAGATCTGGCACCCCAACATCAGCTCCCAAACAGTGCGTTGCCCGTCGCTAGTCCCCAACCTGCCCCCCGACTCCCCCCTCTCTCTCCCGGCTCCCGTGGCCCGAGTCGAGCAGCAGTGCTAACGAAGAAACAAACAGGGCGCCATCTGCCTCGACACGCTCGGCACAGGTTGGTCGCCCGTGCAAACAATCAAGACAGCCCTCCTCTCGCTGCGCATGCTCCTCGAGTTCCCGAACCCCAAGGACCCGCAGGACGCCGAGGTCGCCAAGATGATGCTCGAGCGGCCCGAGGCCTTCGCCCTGCGCGCCCACGAGTGGGCCGTCGCCCACGCCGGCGCGCCCGCGAACCCCAAGCTCGACACGTCGCGGTACACGGCCGAGGCCGACGCCGACAAGGCCGCCCTCGACGAGACGCGCTACGACGGCTACAACCGCAACCTCGTCGAGCGGTTCGTTGGCATGGGCTTCCAGGTTGATGCCGTTGTTGACGCGTTCAAGTATGTTGGCATTGACCGGAATGATGGCCGGGACTATGAGCTTGAGGAGGCGTACATGGGGGACATTACGGCTCGGTTGCTCGGCGAGCAGTGATGTCAGGGTTTGGTGGTGTGGGATCATCAGGTAGGATGGGCAGCCACCGCGGATTTGGGGGCGAGTTTCAGAAGAGGGTAAGGACGGACGGACACATTCCGCTGGAGTTTTGCGTGTTTCTATAATGTTATGACTGAAATGTTTGCATTGCGTTGGGGGGAATATTCCACCATCAATTCTTTTGTCATCTCCGTCTCGAGAAGGCGTTCGGAGAGGTCGCGTCAGGGGACGCATTCAGACGAGGAGCCTCGGTGGCAGGCAGAGGCACGCCGACGAAGCACAGACTGTTACGAAACAAACAAAAATTGGGGTTGAGACCTGTTCTCAAGATGGGTGATGCAGGCAGAATACAGATGGAATTCCAGATTACAAAACAGAAGCCGGCGCGACGCGGCCTCGTTGCTAGCCTCGCCTTCCAAAGCCGCCTCCGTTCCAGTCTATGAGTACCGTACCCTCGATGAATAGCAGAAAATGCACGGCTGCTCCGTAGGCGTGCCCCGGTCACCACATCATACATACACATGCTTCCCTTCTCCTCGCATTGCCACCCACTCACACCTGTTCCGCTGGATAGACGGGAACCCTTTACAGGAGATCCCGGCGGACGAACTCGTCGTACAGGGCCTTGCCGAGACCGGCGGGGGAGCGCTCGACGATGACGCCGGCGGCCTCGAGGGCGGCGATCTTGCTGTCGGCACCACCCTTGCCACCGGAGACGATGGCACCGGCGTGACCCATGCGGCGGCCAGGAGGGGCGGAGATACCGGCGATGAAGCTGACGACGGGCTTGCCGCCGTTGACGGTGTTGTTGGCACGGAGGAACTCGGCAGCATCCTCCTCAGCGGAACCACCAATCTCGCCAATCATGATGATGCCGTCCGTCTCCTCGTCCTTGAGGAAGGTCTGCAGGCAGTCGATGAAGTTGGTGCCGCTGAAGGGGTCACCGCCGATACCGACGACGAGGGACTGGCCGAGGCCGGCCTGGGTGGTCTGGTTGACGGCCTCGTAGGTGAGGGTGCCGGAGCGGGAGACGATACCGATGCGACCGCGCTTGTGGATGAAGCCGGGCATGATGCCGATCTTGCACTGGCCGGGGGCGATGATGCCGGGGCAGTTGGGGCCGACGAGACGGGTCTTGGACTGGGTCTTGAGCATGTTGGTGATGCGGACCATGTCTGAAGTAGGGAGGGTCAGCAGGTGTTGGGACGAAGCCGGGCAGACACGCGCAAAAACATACCGTGCTGGGGGATACCCTCAGTAATGCAGACGACGAGGGGGATCTCAGCCTCGATGGCCTCCTCGATACCGGCGGCGGCGACGGGGGGGCTGTGGTGTGCATTAGCTTTGTTCTCTTGAGATCGAAAACGTGCTACGAGTGCTTACGGGACAAAGATGGCAGTGGCAGTGGCACCGGTGGCCTTGACGGCCTCGCTCACGTTGCCAAAGACGGGAAGGCCGAGATGCTCAGAGCCAGCCTTCTTGGGGTTGGTGCCACCGACGACCTTGGTGCCTGTATGTCCAACACGTCAGATGCAGTTCGGTCAGGGAATTCTCTTGTTGTGTGATGCTTCGTACCGTAGTCGATCGCCTGCTGCGCGTGGAAACTAGCGATATCCAGGTCAGCGCCAAGCTCTTCAAAATCCAGGGGTCCTGCGAGGCGCATCGCGAACCAAGGGGGGTGGAAAATGCAACTTACGTTCCCTGCTTTCCGGTGAAACCCTGGAAGAGAACCTTGGTCTCGCCGTTGATGCGCAGGTTGTCAATGGTCTGGGCGTAGGGACCGGCGGACGAGACGCTGTAGGCACGGCGAGCTGCTTGTTGCAGCAGGCTCGTCGAGGGCCGCAGCTGTCTTGAGATGGCCTGCATGATGGCTTTGTGCTGTGTAGAGGAAGGGAGGGAGAAAAAAAATAAGACGGGAAGAAGCGCGGCGAGGGAGCAGCGCAGCTGATGACAGTTGAGTCGAAAGGAGGTCGACGGATGGGGTGGAGGGGAGATGGAGGTTAATGCGGCGTTATTCGGGGAAAACCAACAGGAGAAGAGCTCAATTCATCGCGGCCTCCAAACACGAAGCGTCAAAACTTGGAGTTCCAGGTGCCATTCGGCAGCTGCTGGGGGGGCGCTCGGGCCATACGGCCAGATTCCAGTTCGGTTACAGTGTTGACTGGCCGGCAGCACCGGGAAAACCCGCGACAGAGGGACCTCGTTCAGGCTCTGAGGCTCTGAGGCTCTGAGGCACTCTGAGGCACTGAAGGCACGCCGAGCCAGGGCAGAGGCATGCAGAGCAAGGGAGCGAGCTTGTCGGAGATGGATTGTTCCCGCCGAGCCAATCGCCGAGCTGGCAAATGGACGGTCATCAGTCATCCGAGCCTGAGTCATCAATTCAGCCTTGGCCAAGGGGTCCCACTTCTTCTGTCCCCTCCCCCCACCATCAGATGCCACTGGCTTTCGAGATGACTGATCTTGAAGTGGTTCTTGAAGTGGTTCTTGAAGTGGTGGTGTACTACTACTGCAGCTTAGGCGATTGCTTCCAAAATTTCTGGAAGCACCGCAACTGCATACACATTTTCGATCCATCGCCCCTCGTCATCGGAACTTCATCTACCGACATCTTCCTCGAATGTCACACACACCATGGCCACAGCAACAATGACGGCTACGGCCACCCACCGGCCAAAGCCCAAGACGGAAAACCTTGCCCCAGAGAACGAGCGTTTCCTGCGATGTTGCGCCGATGTAGTCAACGCCCTGATCGAGGATCATGAAGCCTCGAGCGACCCGAAGAAGCCCAAGAGGGACATCAACCTCAACCAACTACGAAACAAGTGTGCCAAGAAGCACAAACTCGCCAACATTCCCTCCTTGACCGCCATCATCGCTGCCATTCCCGAACACTACAAGAAATACATCCTGCCCAAGCTGATTGCGAAGCCTATCCGTATGTGCACATTGGCCGCTTCTCTTTTTTTTTCTTCTTCTCGGTACTTCGTCTGACATGCACAGGAACATCCTCTGGTATCGCCGTCGTCGCCGTCATGTGCAAGCCACACAGGTGTCCTCACATTGCCTACACCGGCAACATTT